TGGCCAAAGCTGCACATGTGAGCAGCGTGACGCATGCGTGTGATGCTGATGCAGGAGCCGTCCAATGATGAGCCAGCATTCTGACATAGAACTTGGAAGTGCTGGACATAAACAACATATGAGAATGACACAGAAAAGAAGAGGTTGTTGAATAAAGTCGTTATTTTTGTTTTGTTTTTGCGCACAAAGTATTCTCGTCGCTTCATAAAATTATTGTAGAACCACTGTAGTCACGATGTAGAGCTGTAGTCAAGTCCAGCTTTGTCAAGTCCAAGACCAGGACTAGTCGAGACCGAGTCCAAAGAGGTTCGAGTCCAAGTCAAGTCCAAGTCCAAAAGTTTCGAGTCCAAGTCAAGTTTATTACACTGTTTATTTTTGTCTTTGTTAACATTATTTAATAAAAATACAGTTGTTCATTCATTGTTTGTTCATGTTAGTTCACAGTACATTAATGTTAACGAACACAACTTGTCATTTGAATAATGCATTAGTGAATGCTGAAATTAAAGTTAACGAATATTAATAAATGCTGTAGAAGGAATATTCATTATTATTATGTTAACTAATGTAGTTAACTAATTAACCTTATTGTAAAGTGTTACCAAAGAGTCAAATACAAAGGCTAATTCTTATGTTCAGGATGCCTTCCGGCTCAACTTGCCTCTCTTTGTGGTGTCTTTGCAGGTGCCTTATGAAATTAGATGGTGTCCCACAGGTTTCTGCAATAGTTTTGTTGCAAAATTTGCAGTTGGCCTTGTGTTTCTTCTTCTTCCGTGCCCCGTCGAAGAATTCTCTGTGGTTTGTAAAACCATACTGTATGTCATGTGACAAGAATCAACCAATCAGCTTCATCCTTTCCCGTAACAAAATTGAAAGCTAAGCCAAGACGGAGAAACAGTTGATCATAGCTGTACAAGGATAGACATTTTTTTAAATAAATTTAGTTGCAGAGCTACTGCAAGGGATTTTTAGTGCTGCAAATCCATTTATCCTTTGCTGAAACTTCCACATCCTCATGGAGAGCACAGGTCATAGTTGCTTAGCAACGGCAGACGCCACGGGAGCGCAAGCATAGAGCGCAGGCTACAGAGTGCTTTGGAAAGAAGGAGAAAGCGGTGCGCCTAGCGTTTTCCACGCGTTTTCAGGCGCGACATGCAAATGTGGTTTTGTTTTGAAGGAGAAAAAAAAGCATATTGCTGGACTCGGTCGAGACCAACGAGAACATTTGGCGAGTCCAATGACCATGTCCGAGACAAGCCCGAGTGCAAACACCAACGAGTCCGAGACCATAGAAAAATGACTCGAGTGCTACAGCCCTATCACGATGACTGTTTTAACGACGTCTTTAGTACCTTTATGGATCTTGAGAGTTTGGATGGCGTTGCTGTCAATGGAGGCCTCTCTGAGCCATCGAATTTGATCAAAAATATCTTGATTTGTGTTCTGAAGATGAACGAAGGTCTTAGGGGTGTGGAACGACATGAGTAATTAATGACAGAATTCTCATTTTTGGGTGAACTAACCCTTTAAATTGATCAACGGTATCAGTAAAGACATTTATAAAATTACAAAAGATTTCTATTTCAAATAAATGGCTTTTACAAAGCTTACCGAGTCTACTACAGACTTTTGAACAGTAGTGTAAAAAAAATTTACTCACACCCACAAATGGAACAAAATTTTGGTAGGAATCATCATCTTGCCTAGAAGATAAATATAAAAAATATAAATCAAAAATACATGAAATGATGGGGGTGATAGAAATCATCTCACTCACATCTTGTGTTTGCAGGTCAGCATGGCCTCAGCAATTGGAAACTGATGAGTAACCGTAGATCCGTTGATGTACTGTAGAATTCGCCCAGCCACATCCACAAAGTCAGAAGAGGAAGCTGAAGAGATACAAGAACAAATCCTAGACAAATCGCCAATACAATGCATCTCAACAGGCAGAGGAAAGAGAAATGTCAGATGGTATGAAAAATAAAGAACTGTAGAGGGGTTAAACAAATGCAATCATTTACCAGTCTGAGGCGGCTCAGAGCGGCTGAAAAACTCTCGCCATGAGCTGTCCAGGAAGGAAGAACTGTAGCGATTGTCCAGAGAACCCAGGTGTTTGGCCACAGGGTGAGAGCCTGTGGAGACACTCACATGATACAGCCTGCCTTTTTGGAAAGCTTTTGTCATTGTTGTGTGCAATATAACTGTGTTTAAAGGTTATTTATACGCACCTGTAGGCACCACAAGGAACTTCATGTGACTGAGCCAGTCAGACATCTTGTTGGCGAGCTGAGAGACAAAGAATCTCAAGACGGCTCCTAAGTAGCTCTGACCTCCAACTGCCACCACCTTCACCGGTTTGGGCATGATTGAGTTACAGTTGCAGCTGTGAGAATAAAGAAGGAACAATGAAAAGATGTATGTCACTGCAGTGTAGACAAGTACTGGTAGATGCAATCGCTGTTTACATACTACAATCTCTGATCAACATTGCAGAATCGGGTTCAACAATATCAGATCTGACAGCCAGTCATCACTACAAACCATGTCATTTCACATTTGTGTTTATTCTCAGTGATTCATTCCACCAGTTACACTTACAATTTCTGTATGCGTGTGAGCAGAGCGAAAAGGACGGCCTGGATTTCTGATCCAGAGCAGGTGCAGACCACCGGCAGCTTCTGGGCTTGCAGCAGCTCGGCCACATACTGCAGAAACACACAGCGTCATATTTCTCTACTTCAGAATGGATAAAAACTTAAGTATGCACTAAGATACTGACACAACACAGATGTTCAACTTCAAATTAAAGTAGTTATAAAGTTCTGTACAGGGTGGTCAGACAGGCAGGCACACAGGAAGTGAAATGGACTGGTATTTACATGTCCTTGCCAATCGCTGCCATTGACGAGGATAAGGCTGTCAGGAAGGGTGCTGTCAGACAGCAGGATCTGGTTGAGCTGGTCGTACACCATCTTCCTCGGCATCTACAGATGAAAAAAAAAGCATGACTGAAAGCATCTTTTTCACCTTCATTTTCTCACACTAGCATTTTAAGCATGTAAGCAGTGTATAATTTCAGTGTTAGGGAGTATCTAACAGCTTAGCTACGCATTTTACCTACCTTCACAAAAGTGTGAGCAGCTCAGCTGCTTTCAAAACAATGTAGCTTTTAAAGAATTTGTTTCATTTTAATTAATTGAATTAATTTTGTTCATCCCTTGCAAGGCATATTTTGTGGTTTTGTTTTTAGCTAAATTAAATTAAATGCTGCTATTTATCATTAGGTGTTTGCCTCCGTATACATTTTTACTAATTTTATTAGTTTTAATTAAAAATTTTTTTAAGTAAAATTAGTTTTTAAAGAAATTAATACTTTTATTCAGCAATGGTGCAAAAATGACAGTAAAGACCTTAACGTTGTTACAAAAGATTTCCATTTCAATAAATGCTGTTATTAGCTAAATAAATAAATAAATCAGTATTTCTATTCATCCAAAAATAATAGAAATACTAGAAATAGAAATATTAAGCAGCACAACCATTTTCAAAACAGATAATTAGACGTTTCCTGAGCAGCAATTCATCATATTGGAATGATTTCTGATGGATCAGGTAACACTGACTGGAGTAATGATGCTGAAAATTCTACTTTGCCATCGCAGCAATAAATAATAATTTAAAATATATTAAAATAAACAAAATATATGGTTATTTTCAGTTGTATTAATATCTCACAATATTACTGTTTTTACCGTATTTTGATCAAATAATTGAACTAGTTTAGGTCAGCATAAGAGATTTCATTCAAAAACATTTATTTTCACAAACTTTTGAACTGTAGTTCAAGTTTCCTGTCCAAGTTTAAATGTTGTCTTGTCACCCTAATTGACTGATCTTCTGTCAGGACCACTATCGTCAAAGATGATTGACAATTAGCATACCGTTTGGATTGGCGGTATGGTTCTGTTCTGGGCAAGAACTCCCTGCGCATCCATGCAGCCTAGCATGGATGAGAGCAGGGAGAGCAGCGATAACAATTCAAAGGATAATCAGAAGGCTGAATCCTGACTGACAGAGGAGGAGCTGGGGATGGAGGAGAGTAATTAGCTATTGAGCAATGCAAAAACTGCTGATAATACTGAGGGACCTTATATATGATTAGGTGCGTTCGACTTGAAGCACCGCTACAGACGGCAGTCAACGAGAGTAGCTGCTTGCAGTCGGGGCGGAGGTGAAAACGGAGCCGTCAAGCCGGACACTTTCTGCTCCCGTTAGTGACGCTCGCGTGGTGTTTGCATACTCTATCACAGATGAAGTGAATTAAATGCAATATTTGTCAAATACACAGACGTTTCAGAAACGTTTTCATGAGCAACAGAAACACTTTTTATATACTGCTTAATACAGCGCCATCTGTTCAAGAATAAAAAATGTAAATATATACTATTTAAATACTTATAAAGTGGGGGTATATATGCTTTCATGATAAACGTGACTCAATATAACACTGCGACTACAGTAAATAAGCTTTTAATGTTCTAAAAACACAGATTTATGAGCAGTATTGGATTTGAAGATGTTAGAAACACGTCATTGTTGTCATGTGATGAATTTGGCCAATCGTGAAACAGCTGTGTCATCATCAGCGCTCCTGCAGTCGCTCTGAAAAAGCTGCGCCAGCTGAGTCAGCCGGCTGCTCTCGAAACGATATCGCGGTACTTTGATGCCACACGTGACAGTGACGTAGCGTCGGTGCCGGTTCAAGTCGGACAAAATTTCTAACCGGCATGCACTGCTTCAGCCGCCGATCGGTTTGTGCGACACCGCATGAAGTTGAACGCACCTAATGCTTAGATAGGTGTCGTATTCCTATATGTAGATGGGGATCAGCTGATGCGAGCTTGACTAACGTGACCTGCCAGAACTAACGCTACGCTTGATATTTCTGCACCACTAGAGGCGGTAAACGAAATTGCACAAATAATTGTCCAAATAAGTTTCCAAACAAAAACACTCCCAAAAGCCTTCTTCCATTGTTTTGTAAAACAGACCCTACGCTCATGGCATTGACTGAATCAGATGTTGACATGTTGAACCTCCACTCTTCAGGTATTCAGTTAATGAATAGCATGCTTACAGTTGTCTCTGCCCATTAAACTGGGATAATAGAAAGTACTTAAACAGTGAAAAAATAAACACTTCACCTTTAATGGCTCTCGTATTCTGGATGATTCAGAAGCAGCTATTTCGGTCTCAGGAACCGCACAGTTTCTCACAAACATTTGATAAAGAATAGCAGAGTTCATGAGCAACAAAAATATGTTAGTGAAATGTATCAGATTTTTAATAAACGGCAGAGAGGTCTAAAAACAGCACTTCATCACGATGACCCTTGAGTATGTTTTGACACCTCTGCACAAAAGTGAACCGTCATATGAGCCAGGTGTTGAATCATGCCAGACCTAGTACAGAGTTACATAAGGAGAATTATCGCCCACTCTCTCTCTTTCCCTCCCTCCTCTAGCATCACACCCACTCCTCCCGCTCGCGAATCCTCATGCACAGCCCAAATGAATCACCATATTCTCTGCTTTGCCCTCTCACATGCACACAAACACAATTTCCTGAGCAAATAGCCCATGGGGGTTTATCGATTCTGCTGAGCTTCAGTCAGATCAACTTAAGAAGAGTAAGGCAGCAGTTCTTGGTTAAGTGCTAGCTCGGTCTGTGTGTGTGTGTGTGTGTCTGGAGTATGTTACCTGAGGGGTGAGGCTGAGCTCGGGTGATCTCTCACTGTCCGAGCTGTTGGTGCGTTCACTAAGTGGTTTGGACAGCTGTCTCTCTTTCATAGGGGTCCCTCTCCTCTGTTTGGGGGTATGACTGCCATCCAGTCTGGGGAGAATTGCGCAGCTGCTTTTATTTATTTGTAACAGACTCCATTTAATCTCGATATGTGCACGAGTCTATGAAAAGCAAGCAACAATCCTATTTAAGAGTATAATTTCATGCACTGTAGCAGATCTCAGTAAAAGAAAAGGGACTACGTACATAGTTTGTGGATAGAATAGATTAGGAGAGGGCCGTATGACCAAAATATCATAGTATGAATAATTTTATATCATGCCGAAATATAACAATATTGTTAATTCTACAGGAAATTTAGTTAAATTGTTTATATATTAAACAAATATGTGCTAATATCCTTTTTTCTTTAAATTTTGGTACTTGATGGAATAAAACCAAAAGATAAGGTAATTTATTATAAATTAGTAAGGTCTGGCATTGGTAGAGAAAAATTGGTACTGACACATTTTAGCGTTGTATACTTCATAGTAAACAACCACTCGCCACCAAAAATAAAAATTGTCAATTTATTCAACCCTGTGTGACTTCTTCTGTGGAAGATATTTTGCAGAATGTCGGTAAACATTTTCAAAACAAACAGTTTCGGTTCCCAGTGACTTCCATTATATGGACAAAAGTACAATGGAGGGCAAACAGAAACGAAATGACAAATTTTCATCTTTAAATAGAGGTTTTATATGAAACACCAACCTGGGAGACGGCATGTTAGTGCTACTGCTCCTCTGAGGGGTCCGGGGCCTCTCTGCCACTGATAAAGTGATACTAGGGGTCCCGTCAGCGATCACCTCCCCTTCATTGAGTTCCTATAACATTAACCTCTTAATAAATCCTAGTTCATGAGCTCACAGAGGATAAGAATGTACAGGTTTTATTACTGCCCTAAGAAGAGACTGAGAAAGGGGCAGATAAAGACAAGCAACCAGTCTTACCAATGTGTCCATCTCTGAGAAAACATCATCCATGTGCGCACTGGGGGAATGCTGGATTTTACCAGATACAGTCTGCTCGCCCCTCTTCAGAAGAAGGAATGGATGGGGAAAGAGAGAGAAATTAAAAGAAATGAGACATACCTTAAAGGGGGATCCCTTAAAGGGATAGTTCAACCAAAAATGAAAATTACCCCATGATTTACTCACCTTCTGAAGTGAATCAATGCATTTGTGTAAGAAAAACATCCATATTTAAAACTTTATAAAGCGTAATCTCTAGCTTCCAGCTGTTATAACAGTGGTGTGAAAAAGTGTTGGCCTCCTTCCTGTTTTTTTTATTTTTTGCATATTTGTCACACTTAAAAGATTCAGATCATCAAACAAATTTTAATATTACACAAAGATAATGCAAGTAAATAAAAATTCAGTTTTTAAATTATTATTTATTTTATTAAAGGAAAAAAGCTGTAAAAACCTGCCTGGCCCTACGTGAAAAAGTAATTGCCCCCTAAATCTAATAACTGGTTGTGCCACGCTTTGCAGCAACAACTGCAATCAAGTGTTTGCGATAACTGGCAATGAGTCTTTCACATCACTGTGGAGGAATTTTGGCCCACTCTTCTTTGCAGAATTGTTTTAATTCAGCCACATTGGAGGGTTTTCGAGCACGAATGGATTGTATTTACTTGCATTATCTTTCTGTAATATTTAAATTTGTTTGATGATCTGAAACATTAAAGTGTGACAAACATGCAAAAAAATAAGAAATCAGGAAGGGGGCCAACACTTTTTCACACCACTGTATGTGCGTTCATGAGAGAGTGACGTTCCAGAGGATGTAAGCGTAGCATAAGCTCTGGTGAGAATATGCTGATCTCGTGAGAACCAAGTTTTGTTTACAGCAAAGGAAAACCAGTCTCTTCTTGTCTTATATCTAGGGATGGGTATCGTTAAGGTTTTAACGGTATTACTACTCTTACCGATACTGCTTATTGATTCGGTACTTTAACAGTATTCTTATCGGTACTTTTTGTTTTATATATATGACAAATTAAGAGCGGAATTAACATTGATTTCTATAACGTTATTCAGATTAAGAGCAGATTTGCATTTTGATGGCCCAAGCGCCAGTCTGTCACTTTAAGACAATATAGTGACACACATCGGATTTTCTCCCAACTGTTCTCCTCCACTTAAGAAATAAACTGTGTTTAAGTAAATACTTTCCAAGCCGGCTATTTTGACATTTTTGTGTGTATTTGACCGATTGGACATGCGCCCAAAGCTCAAAGTGTAATTTGTTTGTCCATTTTGGAGCGCGGGCGCACACATTTCAGCCTGAGGAACAGCGTCTCTTGTGCGGATTGTGCTTTCAACGTTTTATCAAACATGTCCCGCAATTTAGCAACAGTAAAGACGGCATCTTACAACAATTACCGATTGAGCTGATTCTGACGTTAAGTTTGGGTTTTAGGGAGGAACGAATACGTGCCGCTGTGAAGGGAAAGAAGTTGCACAATACGAAACACAGCTAGTTTTTAATAGCTTTACCTCATGTCTTCTTTTGTACAATCCTTAGAAGCCAAAATCGAAATAAAAAAATAAAATCAGCTTAATAAAACCGCCACAGGCCTAAAGTGTAAGCAGATGTTTGAATGTTTAGTTCTCTCTTCTATCATAATTAAACAGGGCTTTCATGTTGCGCGTGCTGAAGCTCCTCCGCACGAGCGCGATCTTGCTTCTGAATTGCGAATAGCAAAAATGCATCATAGACAAATGTTTGAAAAACAGCTGGCGACTCTGGTGAGATAGAATTTGCAAGATAATGTATATATAGCAATAATAAATGTATGCGTGTTTTATTAATTTCACCAGTACCGATAGCAGAACCGTTAACGTCAGAGCGTATCGATACTCCGGTCTTTCATAATTTAGCCCCGGGACCGATTAAATACCAGGTTTCGGTACCCATCCCTACTTCTATCTAAATCATCCAGCATTTTTCTATACAGATCCTCCTTTTGTACTTCTAATTCGTGACCGGTATTTTGTTTTGCTCTCTCCTCTGCATTCGTCACTTCTCACCAGAGCTTACGCTACGCCTACGTCCTACATCATACGCTGGAACGCCACTCTCTCATGAACACACATACGACAGTTTCAAATATGGATATTTTTATTACACAAATGCAGTTTGTGTAAGAAAAGCAGTGTAGAGTGCTTTTTATGATGGGTGGATGCACTTTATTTTGCATTATAAAGCTTGGAAGAGCCAGGACATTTTTTAATATAACTCCGATTGTATTCGTCTAAAAGAAGAAAGTCATATACACCTTGGATGGCCTGAGGTTGAGTAAATCATGGGGTAATTTTCATTTTTGGGAGAACTATCCCTTTAAGAGCAGCAGCAATAAGGCAAAGCAAAATAAAGCTAAATTGCAGAGCTGAAATACGGTCTCTCTCTATATGACACTTACAGGACTCAGCTTGTCTTTGCTGTGGCTGCACCTGCTATTCAAGCTACCAAACTCTGTCTGAGAGCTGGACTGTGACATGCCTTCAAAAAACGGCCTAAAACACACACACACACACACATACAAAGCCAGGGTCAGAATAAGAAAACTGAGGTGTAGGCAGTTTGCCCACTCAGTGTGGGACTAAAAAAGCTCAGTCAGTTATTATGTCAGTTTATTTCTGCATTTGAGAGTGGAATATGCTGCTTGTACAGGTTTCCTATTATATGCAATATATTCCGGAATCTTTTGCAACACCCACTACATTTACTGGCTGCCTCCTCCATTATTTAATCACATCTGAGTAATGCAGAGCAAAATTACTAAATCTATATCGGAAAGTGGGTGCCATTAGAATAAATATTAGCTAGTGAATGCAGTACCGGAGTTTGGGTTTGGGGTTGCTGATAATACTGTCCGTTTCTTCCATATCTGGGCCGCTGTCACTGGGGTTGTACATCTCAAGACTGTCATAGAGCTCATCCAGGTCCTCTTCCACATCCCGGATCTGCTCTTGGGACACATGATCCAAACCAAATCCCACCTGCATGCAAATTATTACCCATCAATTACTGATAGAGATGAATAACATACTCGTACAGTATCATTTATTGGCCAATATTAGAATTTAGAGAATTTATCATTGATATACAGACACAGGAAGTTTATTATGTTAATTTAACCTATTTTTATATTTAGAT